CGTCAGTCGGCGTCGTGTTCGCACGTCTGAAGTCGCGCTGTCTCAACTGAGCTGAAGGTAAAAAAGGTGCACGGCATCCTGTCGAGCACATCAAGCAGAAACACACACAAACACAAACACGTCTGCCTCCAGTGTGCGTTCATGGAAACAATATTCACACATTCTACCTGAAATAGTCGTAAACGTGGCACAAGCGTTCAAAACTGCACCTGAGAAATAAACGACTATCAGCTCAATGTGTTTAAGGTTTAATAGTAAAAACACTCTTTTAACAAAGTGAATATTATGTGATTAAATGTTATTCCAAATTAGTGGCTGTCAAATGAAACTAGCTCCGACTTAAATTAAGCGGATTAGCGCCACAGAATAGTACGAAATCACAATGCTCAAGTCAATAGAAATGCCCCGAAAGGCTGCTGAACACTTTGGACACACTTTGCACTCGTTAGATCCCTTTTTCTTCTTCTTCTTCGTTAAAGCAAAGTGAGGTTTAGCTCATACCGAGTATTAGAGTTACAACCTGCAACCACCTGTGCATCCATAGTTCTTGTTTTTTAGTTACTAACAAACACATCTTTGCATACACATGTTAATATCTAGACATGTTTATTTCTGTGTAATTAATGCAAACTGCTGCACATGTATTAACATATCTATGCCACGACATGCTAATGTGATGTAAGAAAGAGCTTCATAATTATGCTCGTTACATATCTGCATGCGTCATGAACACAAACTTCTAAAGAGTAATATTTTGTACTAATTTCCTCTTTTTCACATTCCCGCTTCTTTCCTGCTGCAGATAGGAGACTGTATGTGAATAAATATGCAGTAAGTTAAATAATGACGGCCATTTTTAAGTGCATATTTTTCCTGATTTCTACGTCACACCGCATCCCACCATCATGGCTCTGATAGTTCCACATTCCAGGCAATCTCCAGTCTGTTAAATCTGTAAAAACCCCTCAACATCTGCACACATCAGCCCTATACGATGAACTGAAACTGCTTTTTCCATCCATCCATCCATCATCTCTACACCTTAATCCTCACTAGGGTCATGGGGGGCTGGAGTCTATCCCAGCTGACTCAGGGTGAAGGCAGGTTCACCT